TCTCTCTCTCTCTCTTTCTGAAATGGTTTGCTCATCTAGTTCTCAAACCTCCTCTCTGTAGTGCAGACGCGTTGGAAAGTGAAACTATCCTTCGGAACTGTCCTTTCACAGCACAGACATTGGAAAACCAGGATGAGGAATAAATCCAGGTCCCAAAGCACAAAATCTGAATTTGGCTGATTCTGTCTAGGTGTCCCAAATAAGAGCTTGAGTGACTTGGACAGAGTTTCTCCTGCATTTTGTTTCGATCCTTTTGCACCAGAAATCCTTTTGTTGTGCTATAGCTCAAAGTCTTTGATTTTCCTTGGATTCTACCACCATGTGCTTTCTTCCACTTTTTTTTTTAAACACATACAAGCCAGTCCTCTGGAAGTAAATGAAGACCACTTGAATAGCATTGGTAAATTTCACATTCTTCCACCGGGAAATACCTGCAGGTATAGGGGATGGAATTTCAGGATTTGGACTTTTTCTTCTTCTTCTTTATTTTCCTTCCTCCTTTCTTTCGTTTTCTTTTCTTCTTTCCTCCCTTCTTTCATTTTTTCTTTCTTAATATTTTTCCAAGATTTTTTAGGAAGGGGATAGCTAATAAGGAGCAGTGGGATTATGGGTGATTGAAGGGAGATGTTTCAATGTAGTGAGGCCACTGGATCATAGTTCACAAAAACCCTCTAGAAGGAGTTTTTAAAGGCTCAAGTGGCAGTTCTACCTGCTGGGAGGAAATGCAGCTTAGTGGAGAAACTGGGGAGACCCAGGTGTGCAGCAGAGGATGCTAGTTAGCTAGAAATGGTGTGTCTGTGGACGCATCCATCGCTGCCCCCCCCAACACACACACACACACACACACACACACACACACACACACACACACCAATCCTGTCATGGACTCACAGGTTGGGGGAAGAGAGAGAGAGTTTTGGTCTGAAGAACTAACCTTAGTTGCCCAAGGGCTCAAAGTTAGTAGGTAGGGATGGCTTTCCCTTAAAATACTTTTTACAGAGTCAAATACAAAGAAAAGTATAGTTTATGTATAAATGTCTTTCCACTCTAAAATTTWAAAAAAAATCTAACTCAACAAAAGTCAGTCATAAAAATATACATGATATTTTGCATTTAAAATGATCGCACATGTTTCCTGTGCCCCACAGTAGTTAAGATTGGAATCAGCAATCAGAAACTAAGCAAGCAGGCTGACAGAATTCTCTAACATTCTACACCCTTAATATTCCGGACCCACCCTGTTCTCGGTTAGGTCTCAGTGGAGGAGAGGCAAACCAACACGAACTGCCTGAGTTTAGAATCAGAGCAATTCAGTCTCGCTCCCCAGCTGCCAGTTCCCCCCTCCCCCAGCACCTAAGGTGCCCAATGTGCAGAGGCGGTGACTGTTTCTTGGATCTTATCGGAACCCAAGACTTGATGGAATGAATGGGTAACCAGGAGGTGCCCTGAGCTTCCCGGTGATGGTAAATGCTCTTTCCTTTTTGCAGTCAAGTCTCTGTCCTCCCTTGAACTACAACCCTGCAAAATCTGGACTCTGACCATGTCCTAAGGCTATTTCACTGTTTTCCTTTCCTTTATATCAGGATAACGTGTCTAAAAGATAGGGAGGGCTCCAAAAGTTAGGGAATGTGGACTTTTGAGGCCCCGTTTTCTTATGCGTCCTGCTGCGAGCGCCCCCGCACCATTTGTTTGTCCAGAGGGAGGACAAGAAGCCCTTTCTCCCCAGTGTGCCCCTTTCCTACCCCCCCCCCTCCTCATTGCCGGATCTTCGAGCTCACTACTCTCTCCAGATCTAATGCTAAATATTCCAATATGGAAGCAAAAAACGATCCCCCTAGAACATATAATTAAAATGCTGCATCATTCATTTTCTGAAAAGCTTTGAGCCTTCTGTAGATTCTTTTCTATTCTGCTGTCGCCAGGCGAAGAACACAATGGGTCTGTTTAGATATGAAAAAAATAAATAAATAAAAGCTCAAACCTTTTCCCTTCTATCTCTTAGGATAGATACAACCCAGCGATTCACCGGGGGAGGGGTCCTTTGATCAGCCACCTGGCCTATTTGGAGCAGAGTTACAATTTCCTCCCCCACCCCAGGGATCCGAGGGTACCTTAGGCTCCAGTACCCCTTCTTTCATCATCGACCATAAACCTCACTGATCCCGTTTTAGAATGCAACAAATTCCTAGCACCTGTGAACGTATAGAAGACACCACGGCCAAAGTCTATGTTTTCTACCGTGCACATCCTACACACAAGACATAATGATTTCATTTAGGCAAAGTAGGAAAGGATGGCAGAGAGTACCTATAGGTGCAGAGCGCTCAGGATCTCCAAGGTTTGCTCCGAGGGGCTTCCCAACGGGAGGGGCAAACTCTCTGGGAGGTTCAATTGTATCCTTCATACTGTAGCCTTGTATTTTCTCCTCTTCCGGCCACCAACTTTCAGAAA